TTCAAAACGAAGACCCAACACCACAGGTTGGTTGGGAAAAATGTTACCTATAATAATATCAGGTAGCATCAATCATGATCAATCATAAGTGAGGAGCGGGGGCAGTAGAGGAGATGGAGGAAGAGGAGGTGATGCTGGAGGAAGGAGGAGGAATAGGGCGAAGAGGAGGCCCAAGTGGCGGAAGAGGAGGAGGAGGCCATGGAGAGGGCGCCGGAGGCGGAAGAGGACCCCCCCCGTTGGGCCCCCCAGGGACGCTGAGCTGCAGGAGCCGACCAGGCCCGCGAGGGCTGCCAGCGCGCCGGAGGCGCCACCACGGCGGAGGAGGGGAGAGGAGAGAGGAAGACGCGGAGGAGGCGAAGGAGAAGGAGGAGGAGGAGGAGGAGGAGGAGGAGGAGGAGGAGGAGGAAGAAGTGCCCGAGGCGCTGGCACACACGTCAACTTCATCGTCAGCCTCTGCGGTCTCCATGACCGGCATGCCAGCCGAAGCCGGAGGCGGCGGGCATTCCCCCTTGAGGTAAGCGCGCCTGCGCGCGTCAGGTTTCGAGGGTCCCAGCTTGCCGCCCTCTTCCTTTCCTCGGCACGCTGCTGGGCGCAAACTCCTGACTCCCTCCCTCCCTACCTTCCTTTGCTCAGTTCTCTGGGCACAGCAAGAGTCGCATCCCGCCCCCTGCGTCGCCGCACACGGGTGCGTGCTGGTCTCACGCAGGAGCCGTTGAACAACCGCATCGAAGGGCAGGGAAAGTGCAAGAGGAAGACGGGGAGGAGGGCAGGGGCAGAGCCAGGGGCAAGGGCGGGTGCATGAGTACACACTGCTGATTTCTAATTCGGGGAAGTTCCTTGATTTTTGGGGGCCAAGATCCTTTCATTTCTAAGTGTTCTATCCTGGGGCTCTTCCTGGCCGCTAGGGGGCAGGAACAATCAGAAACGGCACGATTAGAAATGAACGACGTGTAGCGTTTTCCCAAAATCGGCGAAGGCCCGGGGCTGTCTTCTAGAGGGTAAACCTTGTCCCCTAGTGTCACGCTTGAAGAGGGCCAGCGAATTTCCGTGCGAAAGCAAGGTGGAGTCCCGCTCTGGGTGGAACAAGTGTGTTTCGCGAGTGCCCGCTCGAGGAAAGTGTGCCGCCCCTATCTCGGATCCTCGATGCCTGACGTGGTCCGCAGACCTCCGTTTTCCCTCGTGGAAAAAGGGTTTGGAGGTTTTGCGCAGAATCCTCACTGAATAAAGAGATCGGGAGGCCCTAGCCAATTACATAACATTGAAAATTGACTTTTTGCGTGCCCGCTCCAGGGGGCCCTCCTGGTGCAACTGCTTCTGCACCGACCCTGTGACACATGCATTCGTTTTGCTTTGCGTGTCCAGGGCTTTTCCCAACCATTCTGTGGTGTTGGGTCCTCGTTTTGAAGAGACAGCGCCCAGCGCTCCTCACCTCCCGCGCTTTTTCCCCTCCTCCCTCCTACTCTCCTTGCCTCTGCCCTCCGCATGTGTCTGTTTCGGCACACCCAGTGCAGCATTTCATGGCCCCATGGGGAGCTCCTCCGAAGGCCCCGGCCTTTTCGGCACACCCCTCATACGTTTCAGGCCCCATAGGGAGCTCCACCGAAGGCCCCAGTGGCAGGGTTCGCACGGCGCCACCGCGCCCATTTTGGCCCCCCCCCTCCCCTCATCGCCCTCAACCTCGGTCCTTATCCCCTCCTCCTGCCGCCTCCCGCGGAGCTCGCTCCCCCTCGCCCTCGCTCAGGCCAGCAGGCCGCGTTGCTGGCCTGCTCGCCCAAGGCGAGCGCATCTCCCACGTCGTGCTCCCCCAGATCTCCCCCGCCGCCCCTCCTCGCTCTCCCCTTTCCGTTTTGTTGGAGGGAGGACGGGGCGGCGGGGTGGCGACGGCCGTGGGAGGTAGCGGGGTGAAGGCAGGAGGGGGGGGGCAGGAGGGAGCAGCAGTGTCCTCGGAGGAAGAGGGGGCGGAGGAGGAGGAGGTGGAGGAGGAGGAGGAGGAGGAGGAGGAGGAAGAGGAGGAGGAGGAGGGGGAGGAGAGGAGGAGGAGGAGGAGGAGGAGGAGGAAGAGGAGAGGAGTTGAAAAGAGGAGGAGGAGGAGGAGGAGAGGAGGAGGAAGGGGAGGAGGAGGAGGGGAGGATGGAGAGGAAGAGGAGAGGAGGAGGAGGAGGAGGAGGAGGAGGTCCCCTTCCCGCTGCCCCCGAGGCCCCCTCCCCGCTGCCCCCTACTGTAGACCCCGTGCGGCGAGGAGCTCCGCGAGGCCAAGGAGCAGGTGCAGAAGGCGGCGGGGGCGCGGTCTGCGCTGGAGAAGGATCTGCGCATCGCCCAGCCAAGGGGAAGAAGATGGGAGGGGGATATCGGGCAAGACGCGTGAGAGCCAGGCACTTGGTAAAGGGATGGCGTGTGGAGGAGCAGGGGGAAGAGGGAGACAGGTGAGACAGACGAGGAGGAGGATGAGGAGGAAAAGAAGGAGGAGGAGGAGGAAACGACTCCGCAGCATGAGAAGAAGGAGGATGGAGGAAGAGGAGGAGGAAGAAGAGGAGGAGAAGGAGGCGGAAGAGGGGCCAGTTTAAACCCAAAATGTACCACCGATGTTGCAAGACACCCTCCCGTTCCAAGCCCCCTTCTCGCTAGCCCCTACTTGCAAACATATGGCTCCTTGCGCGAAGCGCCCCACTTGAAAGAGGAGCCCCTGTGGGCCCGCAATTCAGGCGGGCGCTCCGACTCAAAGACAAGAGAATGCGACAGCGTCGGGTCTTACTGGCCAAGCCGGTGGAGAGAAATCCCCCCGCCACGAGCAGGAATCACCCTGCACGGGTGCAAGCGTTGCAGGTATGGAGGAGGAGGAGGAGGAGAAGGAGGAGGAGGAGAAGGAGGAGGAGGAGGAGGAATCACCCTGCACGGGTGCAAGCGTTGCAGGTATGGAGGAGGAGGAGGAGGAGAAGGAGGAGGAGGAGGAGGAGGAGGAGGAATCACCCTGCACGGGTGCAAGCGTTGCGGGTATGCTGCGTTACCTTGCCGGCCCATGAGCTCCCGGCGACGTCTCGGGCGAGGGCCCCTTCCTCGGAGCAGGAGCCGCCCTCCACCCGTGCAGCTGCTCCCTCCTCCCTCCTCCCTCCTCCTCCTCCTCTCACTCCTCCTCCTCCTCCTCCTCCTCCTCCCCTCCTCCCTCCTCCTCCTCCCTCCCTCCTCCCTCCATCCTCCCCTCCTCCTCCGTCCCTTCCTCCTCCTCCTCCTCCTCCTCCTCCTCCTCCTCCTCCTCCTCCTCCGCACCACGCTATCTTTTGCCTGTGCCAGACGCCAAGGGGAGCCTCTTTCGAAAAGGGCTCGCCCCCCCAAAAAAACACCTGATTGTTTGTAGAACCAGCCCAAAAGGAATCGCCCCCCAAGTAAAAAAAAAAAAAAGTGGCGTCGCACCCCCGAAAGGGAGCCCCTTTTCTAAAAACTTGCTCGTTTGAAGAACTAGTGCGCGCGGCGCCAGGGCGAGCGCCCTAGGTTCAAAACCAGCCGACCTCCACTATTGTAGCTGTCGGGACACTTAAAGACGAGCGTGTGCGGTGCCAAGCCGCGAGCCCCAGGTTGGAAATCGGCCACCTTCCATCCGTGTACGTGCTGATAATGCGTAAAAACAAGTGTGCACGGCGCCAGTGCGATAGCCCCATTAGGAAGACCAGCCGCCCTCCATCCGTGTAGTTGCGGGATATATTTAACAAGAGCGTACGCGGTGCCAAGGCGAGAGCCCCATGTTGAAAACCAACCGCCCTACATCCGCGCATAACTTGGAAATATCTGCGACGAGTGTGCGCGGCGCCGAGGCGAAAGCCTAATTTTGATGACGATTCGCCATTCCTCCGTGTTGCTGTTGGAAGTTGCAAGCTTCAAGGTCTCTTTTGGCAGGACCTCTCAGGCAAAACTCTTGGCCCGCCCTGACGGCACGTCAGGTGGTGCGCCACGGTGGAGCTCATGCTTACACATAGTCAAAGAAGCGCCGGCTTCGAGATCGGATCGTGCACATCCTTCGATCATGTTATGGTTCGCAAGTGGCGAAGGAGTCATTAGGGATGGTCGTTGAGATTTTGTTCATAGCAATCTGTCTTCTTCGTCCGACGTTGTTTCTGAGAGTACGAGTTCGATACAATCACCACTGCATTCATGCTTTTGTCGGATTGTATTGTTATCCGTTGCCCTTTATTGCTGCGTTTTGCAATCCATCTGTTGTGGGTTTTGAGCATTTTACGGTAGGTGCAGAAAATGTTGTTTTTCTTTCGTGCTTGCCAGGTGCTGCACAAACCAACGTTCTTGGATTCGCTGACAACGAGGGTCAGATTCAATCAGGGTCCAGTAGCCGTGTGAGGGTTTGTACAGCGCAAGTTGGGCCTCCCAGCGGTGCCGAGGCAGAGGGTCAAAAACCGAAGACTGTAGCACAGCAGTGTGAAGATCATATTTTTGTTGCTTCTGCGAAGGAGAGTTTACCCTTGACTTCGCCTGCTTCGGATTCGTCGTTCGACGCCGGAGTGCATGTGTCATCCAGCGCCTCAGGCAGAGCCAAGGTTTGAGACAGATTCTTATATCGGTTATTTTCGTTGTCCGAGTTTTCGTGGACAGCGATTCACAGAAGGTTTCTCAAGCCGGAAGTCGCCCCTGCACCATGCGCCTCCGATGCCAGCAGCGCCGAGCTTGATCTGAAACCAAATGCCCAGTAGAAGACGGACGAGGAGGGCGAGGTGACAGATACGGTGGCCCGGGCGGACGGGGATAGCACTGACGCGGAGTTCAGCTTGGCGCAGATGGAGCATATCCTTGTCCATGCGGTTACCGCTATGATCTATGCACGCCATGGATGGGCGACGCGGTAATGTTACAAGCAGCTGGGTGCGCAGATGGTTGTCCTAATGGAGTCGGACCGACATGGGGGATGGGCCCTTGTTTTCCAGATTTGGAGTACGGTGCTGGCTGAGCGTGGTCGCCAAAGACGTCGGCGACGCCTTTCTGACGGAAGCTGAAGTGTTCACGTGCCCGAGCAGCACGAGCCCAGTCTGACACACACTCGTTTTCGTTCCTGTGTGAATTTCTCTTCTCGGCTGAGAGCACCACATCCCTCCGCGAAGCTTAGCGCAAGTTATCCCCCGCGCCGCGTCGGCGCCCCCAGACCCCCAAATTTACATGTTGACGCCGAAACACGTGACTTCGAATTTTCCGACGGCGTCCGCGCACCGGGCCGCTCGCGAAATTGAACATCGAAATGGGGGCCGAGGGGGGGTCGGCAAAATTTGCGTTCAGTTTCGCGGAGGGTTGTGCTTTAGCTATGCGGTGACGCCACGCTCCTGATTCTTGATTCCTGATGGAGGAGAGGAGGAATTGGAAGGAGGAAGGGGGGGAGGAGCGGGAGGGAGAGGGGCACCGACGGCAAGGGAGGGGGAGCGAGAGAGGGGAGAGGCAACCAGACGAATGTCCGCAGGCACACAGCAAACATCTCGCTCGTGCGCAGGCCACTCGCCCCGAGCAGCACCGGAGGCGGTAGCCGCAC